AAACCAAGCTAATTTTAGTTTCCTTTAAAAATATTCAACAAGTTATGATCAATTATGTATGCTTTTAAATAGTTATAATATCAATATATTATTCAGCTGGTAAGTTATTGAGCTATAAAATATGTAAAGCGGCGTTTTTCAACTTTGGTTACACAATAGAATCACCTAGGGAGTATTGAAAATTCCCACTTCCCAGGCCACATACAAACTAATAAAATCAGTTTATTTAGGGATGAGGGCAAGGCACCAGTGTTTTTTAAAGCTCCTGAGCAGTCTATAGCTGAGGTTGAGAACAATTAAGATAAAGTATTATTATATTTTGAAGGGAAGGATAAGATGGGTACGATCGTTAAGCTTCTTCAGTTAGACTGGGAAAGAAAGGGAAGAGCTAATAGGATGGATATCATGGCTAAGACTTTTTCATGTGGAATGGGAGTCAAGCCCTCATTTTCTGGCTGTTTTCTTTAATTCAATACTTAATAAAACTATGACTCTTATCCTCTATTATTTTTGTCAGTAATCTAAGTGGTTAATGCATTAGAATCCATTTTCCAAGTAAAATGCCCTGATAATAAACTTTAGGTTCATGTACATGGTTTTTGCTGCAGACTTTTCATTAAAAAGAACATTTATTATTAGAAATAAGATTTATAGTCTACAGAAATTAATATCTTGAATCTGGGTAACACTTTATAGTTTGAAAATCACTTCCATATATTTTATTTTATTTAATCTTAGAATTGAAAACAGACTTGATATTGTTTCTGAAAAATAAACATGCACAAATAAGTGCATTAAATTAGAATTCTAAGTTCCTAGAAGTCTTGGATGTTTTGCCCTATTTTATTGTGATGAGTAATTTGAAAATTTAGATGGTTTCATCACTGAGGAAGAACATCAAAGTTTACTAAGTGCTTGTTTGTGACTAAACGAAGTTGAATATTCTGCTTAGGTCATAAATGATAACTCATTCTCATTCATTCAGTGTCCTCTTTGGTAGCATTTATATATGTTTGTTGCCGTATGGAACTTTAATCAGATTAAAAATACGTGAGTTCTTTGGGTCACATTAAGGGATACAGAGTTATGTTTTTGTTAATATTAAAAATTTCCATTTTTCAGTGGCTTTGGCTTTTCAAAGCAATTTGAAGTGTTTATGTGAGTTCATATCAACACTCCATCTGCATGAAGCAGTTCTGCAGTTCTTATTTGTTGTTCAAGCAGGTTTAATTAATATCATTTGACAAAAGAGGACACCCAGGCCACAGAAGCTAAGTGTCTGAGATAATGTGGTTAATTTAACAGATTGTGACACAGAACTTGGATTTGGGGTCAGATAAATTGGGTTAAAATTCCATCTTGACCAATTATACTTTCCATAAATTACTTATTTCTATGTGCCTTGGGTGTTCATTTGTATTAATAAAAAGTGAATAAGATTCTTGTGACAATTAAATGAAATAGTATATGTAAGCAGGATTAGTTCTATAATTAGTTGGTCCTGGTACAAAGTGCAAATGTGAGGCTCCTTGATCAACAATTATTAATCATTACAAAATGGTGACAGTGGAGCGTTAATCCAAGGGTAGGGCCCTTCTAAACAGGACCTTGTGCAACTGTACAGGTCACACACTCTGAATGCCAGACCTGTGTGTGAGATGTATAGTGCAAACACACAGCAGGCACTCAGTGTATGGTAACGATTGTCTCTTCTTTTGCTACTTTCATTCAGAATTCTTTTCCCAGATAAAAACATGTGTATTCATTTTAATCAAATTGTTTAAACCTGGAGCATTACAATAAGTGATTACTTTTTAAATCACTTATTGAGTAGAGTTTCCAAGTGTTACTTTAATAGAATTACTGTTTAGTCTTGCTGAGCAGTCTTTCTTTGTACTATGTTTATGGTTTATGGTATCTCTTTGCTCTTAAAAATGTTGAATGATTTGGGTTTTTTTCCATATTATACTTGACCAAATTTAATATTGCTGTTATCATCATTTAAATTAAACTTTATTTTTCTCTTCTTGGCTCTTTTAAAGACCACTAGAAATGTCTCATTAAAATGGAATGTTTTGATTTATATGCCCAAAATCCACATCAGAAATTTTATGCTACCTCTGTGGTCTACTCTTAAATTGCTATTCTATAATTTTCATGCAAAACTCCATATAGTCTGAAAATGTTTTAAGTATTTTTCTACATTTTTTAAAAAAAATCTGGAATATGAGTCTTGCTTGAAAACATATAACCAACACACATATTAGAAGGATATGACTTTTCAAAATAAATATGACTTAGGAAAGTAAAAAAAATATATGAAATAGTTTCATTATAAGTGAATTACATAACCTCTTTCAGTCCCTTTTTGTATTTTTTGGTTTGTTTTTCTATCTGTAGATTAAGGAGGTTGAGACTGATCATTTAAGTTTCTTTCAAATATTTTAATTCTCAAAATCTTCTATTTCCATTTCTTCCATTTTCTATTTCTATATTCTCAGTGCCAGGTTTACTCTGTGTGTGTGTGTGTCTGTGTGTGTGTGTTTGTGTAGAATTGTATCATTTGACTCTCATAAAAACTTTTTGAATGTTAGTGAGTGGCAGTGTCCTCAATTCATAAAGAGAGAAGCAGAATCTTAGTAAGAATTACTAACTTGGCCATAGTAATATTGCTTAATAAAAGTAAACATGAAACTAGAACCCCAAATTTTAAGATCTAGTCATAGGGTTTTCTTTCTTGAATGCTATAGAATTAAATGAAGAAGTGGAGAAGTTAGAAAAAGAAAAAAAAGAAAACAGTGTAGTAGTCAGAAGTGTGTTGGAAATGTCTAATAGCTGGCTGATGATGGGAGAATATCCTAATTTGTAGTGTTTGCTGATTTTCGTGGTGTAATTTTTCCTGCAACTTCCACCTGTTAATCTGATGTCACTGAAAGTGGAGCTTGGAAGAGTGCACATGATACTGGGCCAGTGTGAGCTGGCTCCAGCGTGCCCCTAGTAGTGGACAAATATTATACTGATGGTGAAAACAATTTTAAGAAACTACTTGATTTATAATTGGAGGTGGGGAGAGCATAGTTTTGAGATCAGTATTACTTGTTTAAAAGCTCTTTAGGCTTTCTTATAGTCACCCTAAAGTTTCTTTTAATTGATACTTTATACATATTTATGGAGTATATGTGATATTTTGTTACATACATAGAATGTGTCAAGATGAAGTCAGCGTATTTAGGATATCCATCATCATGGGCATTTACGTTTCTATGTGTTGGGAACATTTCAAGTCCTCATTTCTAGCTATTGTGAAATGTGTAATACATTCTAAATCACTTAAGCCTGAAACCAAGGCAGAAAAAACTGGCATAGCAAAAGGAGTTATATTTATGTTCTTTCCTTACCATAGACATTGAATGCTTAAATTTTTTAACATCAATTTGAAAGGCATCTGATGTTATCAGAGCTGTGTATCAAAACACTTGAAAGCTACTATAAATACATTTTCTGAAATAATCATGATGTTTTAAACTCAATATGCATGTAAAATTTAAAACTTAGTAATCCTATTATTAGTTAAACTTTCTACAATTTATGTATTTTTTTTAGAAATAGTGTTAAAATAGCCTTTAAATTTAGGGTGTTTAGAATAACTGCATGCTAACACTAAACCTACTATTCAAAGTGGTGAAAATGAAAGGCATCGATTTCAGTGGATTTTTAAAATGCATTGATTCTGGGAGAAAAAAAAACCTCATGTAGCTATTAATAAGAACAACTAAATTAGAGAATTGGGTTGAGGTTATGATAATTGTGGGGAAGTAATGTCTATTAAAAAGTTTTTAATCTCCTAAAAAGCCTCTGATAAAGCATAATTTAAAACTGTATTAACTTTTTTAAATATCTGGAAAATTAAAAACCTTATGTCATTATCTAATTAAAAGCATCTGTCTGGTTTATTATACCTTATTTATAACACTTGGTTTAGATTAGAACAGGAAAGGAAGAAAATTACCTTGAAAAATGTATCTGCGATTCTGAGAATGATTAATATATAATCTCAGCTTCAAGAAAGGTATTACGAAATAGATATTTAAATATTGGGATACAAATGATAAATGGCTCTTAACAATGTAAAGGAAAAAACTGGAGAATGAAGTTAATCTTGTCTTATGTGTTTAGAAAATAAGGTAGGGTGATATGTAAAACTTTGAGTAGGCAATAACTTTGAGTAGCCCATAACAAAATGTTAGTGAAGTCAGTGAGAGCTTTGCTTAATTATCTGTAAATTGAAATAAGAGAAATTAATTTTAACAAAGTATTAAGATTTTAATGTCTTACTTTCTAAGCTTAATATAGCTCAATAGATGAGAACCCATTCAGTTTTCTGGTTCTAAGGAAGAATAACAGATTCTACAATGGAAAAGCAAATCCTAATTTTAGATAGGTAGAAGGATGGAGTATTTTTACTGCATGGCTTTTATCAGTAACTTTTGGAGCATTTCAGAAATATTTCCCTTCTAGCTGTTTATAATTTTCTTTAGAGCAAAGATTTATCTCTGTACTATTCAACAATCAGAAGATAGAACTTTTAAAAAATGTCTTCCCACAAATGGAGGGGAATAAATAGTTTACTTTTCACACTGCCAATTTCACCAGAGGCCTTGGGAAATATACCTAATCCACTGAAGCTCTTTGTAACATTCAAAAGCTATTCTGTAGAGCTAAATTGCAGTTGGGAGTGGGTAAGAGAGGATGGAGGATAGTACTTGAAAAACTATTCTGACTCATCAGTTTTTCCTTATGTGGAATCTTACCAATCACAAATTCCTACATGTTGTAGTCCTTAGCCATTGAAAATAATGATACAATTTCTACAAAGAGTACTCCATTTCTTTCAACATGGTGATAGCATTATGTCCTGGATCACATTCATGAGGGAAGGCAAACCATGGATTCTTTGGACTTTCCTGAAGATTTATCAATAATGAAAAATCTCTTCTCACCTGTTCTGGATATCCATCCATACTCCTTTGCCCTTTAGTTTGAATTAAGCACCGTCCAGGCTGAGGTCCCCGGGTGGCCTGTGAAGAGGGGATCTGAATAGGCAATGGTGACTGAAATTGCTGGATGGTCACTTTGTTTATATTTCCTTCATATGGCTGCTGCTCCCGGCTGCGATGCTGAAGGCTTTGGGACCCCATCAAAGTCTGGATGTGACTGCCTGCCTGTTGGGAAGATAATCTGTCAGGCAAAAATTCATGTTCCGAAAGGATGTGATTAAAGTAGAAAACACGTACAGAATACCTCTTGGGTAAAATGGCATCATTTGGGCTCTCAGCCACGACTGGAAAGGATAATGAAGAAACAGTAAGGGTCTGCCTACTGTGGTTTGTGAAAATGTTAATATTGGAGCAAAGTTGCATTAAATACATTTGTAGTCATCTGGTGACTTGCCAAAGATCAATTTAACCCCATTTTAAAGGAACAAAATTCAGCCTGAAAAATCTCAAAAAGAAAAGGAAGTCACAACTTAAAAATAAAGTGGAGCTCTATCTGGTGTTTCATTTTGGAAAACACTTGAGGGAGAGAGAGAGAGGGAGAGTGAGAGAGAGAGAGAAAGAAAGAGAGAGAGATGTAATATTATGTAAGTAACATCAAGGTAAAAATGATAGAAACTGTCTCCTAAATCTGAAGCAAAAGAATTGAATTACTTATTTTCTTTTATGCCACAGATAGGCTTGTTCAGGTGAGTATAACCAATATTTATTAATTTTCTACATTATTAACTTAAGAGTATGGTTTTTAGAGTCTTTGACCATGTCATAAATTATTGTATCTGTAGCTTATGGAGGCACTAGATCTGGAAAGATCTTCAAAACGAGCTCTCCATGCAAAAGATCATTTGATCAGAAGCTTTCAGAGATTCATCAGTACCTCTTATTTAAAGTGACAATGATCATTTCTCAATCCTTAAAGGTGGAAGAGAGAGGTCATGTTCGCTGCAGTCTCTCATCTTTAAATGACATGATCATACCCCTGCTCTTTTATTTCTTCCTATTTTCTCACCTTCGTTCTAGCATCAGCTCCTTGCATAATTCTACTTGATGTCTTTTCTACCAAGCAAGGGGTTTTGCTTGTGAACTGGTAACCCAGAATGTGCCTTTTAAAATTGAGAGTGGTTTAGCATGGAGGTCTATCATGGAAGTGAATTAACAATCTTAAACATATATTTAGCATTGTGCTTGGAATTTCTCCTATTGCCATTGAAGGATCTGAGGATTTACTTTCTGAATTCATTGGCTTTCTTCTTGGTTTTCTAAGGGTAGGTAACTTGGAATTCAAAAGTGAATTTCATCTTAGAGTTTATTAGCTAGGAAAGCTTATGAACTTTCCTGACTAATTAAGATTTTTGATTATCATGAAAAAGTCACGTTGGAGGAATAAAAGGATAATTATTAGACAAGTATTCATGGAAGAGATTAATTTTGAATTATTTTAAAGTTCTTAAATAAGAGCAACATAAAAAACAAATTATAATGATAATGGAAAATCATTTGAAAAGGGAAAGTATATTGCTAGATTCCAAATAAGAGGGTACTTTCAAAACAAAATACTTAAAATTAATATTTGGTACTAAGTATGGAAAAATAACAATTTGATTATATTTTAGATGTACAACTAGCTATCTTGGTATCATGTACAGTTTTTTTACATTTTTACATTGAAAAAATGGTAAATAGATATTTCAGTCATAAGAAATTGGTGAGGATGCAAAAAGGAGTTTCAGGCTATACCAGCAAAATGTGAAAACAATTTTCAATCTAATACTGCCCAACACACTTAACCAGTGAACACAAAACTAGGATAACATCATAATGGGCAAATGTGTATTTCTTTGTGTATCTATTCCCTTCTCAGAAATCTTAATGAAAGGAGATGTTGCAACCTTTTCAGCCATTCTAGAAGATTGAACACCCTTCTGGTCAAGTTGTTCCTTATTGCAAATTCAATTCTTTCCTGTTCCCATTTCATATTCTTTTGTTTGGTAGGAGGGAGAAGCCATGAAAAGCCAAGTATCATATTGTACTCTGATCAAACTTACTGGCGTGCTCAGTTACATAGTTAGAAAAAGTGATGTCCTAGAGCCAGAGGAGCTGAGGGTGGAGCTTTCTTACTGAGGCTGATTGGCCTAGCTACTGAGCAATCTATTGGTTTTTACATTTATACCTGCTTCTCACCTCTATTGGCATAATATGGGTCCTCAGTCAGTGCTTGAACCCATGGGAGAGAGGAAGGCTGGCAGTTTAATTGAAAGTGATCACACAGATATGCAAAGAATTTTTCCACTCAGACAAACTCTGAAGGATTTTGGCTTCACGATGTATAAGCTACAGGAGAAAATGAATAATGGTGGCTTAACGATTACTTTGTTGATTAGAATATCCCAGTAATATATAGTCTTCCCAAGGATGAAAACTTAATTCTATGTATCATAGAACTGTAGTGGCCTTTAGACTTATATTTCTGTTTTATTTCTTCTTCAGATGGCACAATTTAATTTAGCTCAGGATTATGCTACTTTTGAATTCTTTGAGGGCAAGCCTATCCTACTTAAAGTTTTTAATGACTGAAAAAGTAACTGGCATTTAATAAGTAATAGCTACCATCCAAACAGTGCCAAACAATGTGCTAAGACACCATGTTACCTATTTTGATCTTCACAATGGCATTACAGGTAATTATTATTAGATTATATTATCCATTCTTACTGAGGACAAAACTAAGAGTGGGAGAGGTTAAACAACTGTCCCAAGTAATTTGTACAACTTTTAAACTGGTAGGAACAACATTTGAACCAAGGCTGGCTGAGGTCTTGCTCTTAAACACTACATTATACCGTGGTCCTTTCCCCTCCAAAGTGGATCTTCCTCCTAATAGTTGAACCATGAACTGAAAATAAACCATAAAAAAGAAAAAAAAAGATCAGGATGTTGAGGGAGGATACATTCAATTTCTTTAGAATTTCTTGAATTTGCCAAAGGGCCATTCCTAGTTACTGAACTAGGTCTATCATCTATTTTAGATGCTGTATGTGTGACTTTGAGCTTTAGAGTTAAACAAATAGGGTGAAGATTTTGTATTTAGTAATCTTTTCATTACTATTTAGTAACGAAGCTCATATTCTTAGATGGCTTAGCAAAACAAAAAGTGCACATGGACGGAACAAGCTGTAAAGTGATCCTGCTAGCAGCAGCAGCAGCAGCAACAGCAGCAGCAGTTCTTTCTGTCTTTTGGGCTATATGCTGTGAAGAATGGGGATAAGGAATGACAGCTGTAGAAAGTAAAGAATTAGCACTTTGTAGAAAGTTAAACAAACACAAATGGCAAGACATCTAGAGGGACAATTATGGTTCAGAACTGTAAAGAAGCTATTTTTGACTGGCACAAAGACATGAGAAAGTAATAAAGATGCTCATGATGAAGTACAAAGGACTGATGAAAATGTGGAAAATGTCAGAGATGGGATTTGTTCAAGCAGAGGGTTAGCTCTGAGAACACTGACTCATACTGAAGGGGAATTTCGACATTGAGGTTTTTGTAAAGCCTGTGCTACACATTTTGAATGACAAAAAGAAACAGAGAAGATTTGACATTTGTTTGGAACTTTCAAAGGGAAGTTGGACAAAATCACATGTATTCATGGAGAATAGTGATGGAATATGGTATTTTGAAGTTGACCCAAAAAGCAAATTGTCAAAGTTTACAGGAAAAAATCTCCAATATCCACGGGACCCAAGAAAGCATTTATGTGAAAACCATAGAAATGTTGATTTCATACCAAATGGCACTGCTCATGCAAAATTCATCCCACAGCTAATCAAGCTTATTATTTAGAAGTTGGGAGTGTTTGGAAGGTTTTGTATGATATAAAGGAAATGGCTTTATCACTATAAAGATAATTTGGTTCACATTGTTCTTTTAAAAAAGAGTGTGAGATGGAGAAGTGGATTGTATTACCCAATTTGGTCATCTATTTTACTACCCATCTTGGCTCTTAAACCACTTGGGTTTGCTTCCAAATATCAAACACTACCTCAAAGCATTACAATTTATGCCACTTAGGATATTCAAAAGAACACAGTCCATTCTTTAAAATTAAGTCCAAAATAGTTCTAAAAAATTTTGGGAGTAGTATTGATGACACAAAATCCTCTCCAAAGGATAATTTAGTAATGGATTATGAGGAATCAGCCCTCATTTAAATGAGTCAGTTTCAGTAATTTTGTAAAACAACAACAACAATCCAGTCCTATTATTTTCTATTTACACCATGTATTCTGCAGTGCCTTTTAAAAAATAGAGTTTTAAGTTTTAAAAATTGAGCCAGTAAAACTTCTGCTTCCAGATAGATGAAGTAGATGTACTTTTCCATATTCCCTCCATTAAGCATAACTAAATTAAGCAAAACCTTGGACATTATATATAAATAAATGTCAAGAGACTGAAAAATAGAGAGAAGAAGGCAGACTAGCTAGGGACATAAGGTCCAAGTTACAACATAGTGGTAAGTTCTCTGGGTTTTATTTTTATGTTATATATCCCAGATTTAGAGCTGAAGGAGCAGGTAATCTGAAAGTGCCAACAGGTGCAGACAAAACAAACAAACAAACACACACAAAACAATCAAACAGAAGCGTACTTTCTTGAGCTTAAGGATCAGGAAAGATGAAGTCAAGCAAGACAAAATGATTTTGGACAATAACTGTTCTACTATAGCTGAACACCATAGAGAAAACTGTGGCCCCACCCCAACAAGGTCATAAAAGGCCAAGTGGTGAGCCTAGACTTTTACCCTCATGAGGAGATAGCAAGACATAGCAACACTCTTACTGCGGTGGTATTAGAGAAGGTGAGTAAGATGCCACAGCATTCATCCCCATCAACTAGTAATAAGCCCCTCTCCCCTAATGTCAGAGGAGACCACATGTGGAGCTTGGACTTCTACTCCGACCCAGCAGTAATGAAGCATCCCTCTACTGTCAGAGAAGACCCATTGATAGTATATAGTCAGGACTTTCACCATTACCGCCCAGTGGTAATGAGGCTATTTCCATCAATGTATCAGTGGAGACCAAGTGGGGAATTAAACTTCCATCCCCACTGACTAATGATGAAAGAAGCTTTGCCTCAAGTGTCAATAGAGGTTGAATGGGGTAATTGGATT